CGTCGATTTTTACAAAGCTCATCGGTCTGAAAAGCGAAGTGTGCTCTGATTGGTCAGCTATCCAGTGCGTTGTGATTGGCCGAATACCTCAAGTGTGTGACGGAAATGTTACGGCCCTTACCATACTGTGATGCCTTGTCAGGCCGGAGCGATGAGACAAAACCATTAAAACCCATTATAAACGAGGCATTTGTTGCATCCAGTGGGGACATAATTACTGATTATAATGACTTATATTGTCTTTTTACGCGTTGCGTTGCATCGCGCCACGTAAACATAAAACCATGTCTGCATTTGTGATCGGAGAAATGACAAACAACAAGCGCTACTCTACACTGCTCAAAACTCGCGTTTGAATCATCAGTGGCAAATCCTTTAAATATGAAAACGTACTTACAGACTGTGAGTCAGAAGCGCCAGACTGTCCTTACAAAGTTGGAATTGCCCCACTTTATAGAAACAACTCTCTCGGGTTCAGGAAACAGTCCTCCATAAAATGTGCTGCACACATCTGAATATTTGGTTTGAACTGTTCTGGAACAGTGTTGTAAATACAACTTAACCACTGATTTCTAGTTGTGTCCTCTTTTGGAAGGCCAAACAAAGTAGTTTCGCTTTCACAACGAAACACACAGCGTCTACAGCGGCAACAACAATACTACAGCAACAATAAAGTTACGCCTTCTTTGTTTGCGTGAACATTTGGGCGGCGTTATGCAAATCTCCCCACACAGTGAGGTAGACATGTGGAGCGTGTTTAAACGAGGCGTTTTAGGAGGGCGTGGACGAGTCTTAACTTTTATAAAGAATATATTTTTGGATTTGAGACTTTAGTCTTTGCAACTTTACAGATCTTCTTTATGCACGAACAGCTTGTAACACTCCAAAGAGAAAGGAAAAATTGAAATTGCATCATATGACCCCTTTAAATATTGTAAATATTATAAATATATAAATAAACATTATAGATAGTAAAAATGACTCAAAATGCTCATCCTTATCTGCACGACTTCTGAGGAAAAACATTAAAGATGTAATGCTGCTATGCACTGGTCCGACAGGAATCTCCTGCTGTCAATCAAATGATGTCATGATGCACAAAGGATCTGCTGGTTGGCAAAGGCATGTGCTTTAACCGGCATCTAGAGATCAAACCATAAGAAAAAACAAGACATTTTTTGCATCCCATAGCCAACATTTTTGTCACTCCCTATAATAATTACTTTTGGTTAATAGCGACCGTCACAGCGAAGTTCTGTAGAAATCCTCACAGTAGGCAGTTTTCTATGTGAAGCTTGTCTTTTTTTCCCCCTCTCACTTCTTACTAAGCTGCTTGATCCAAATATGTCAGCAGTTAAAAGAAGCTCAAATTTATTTCAGTCAGGATTTGGGGAAATTTCACCACTTCTGCAAATCTTTGATTATGTGGCTGCTTGCGCTGAAGCGTCTGTCACTTTTAAAGCTTAAGACCTCCTTGTATCACATTTAGTGATTTTTGGTAAGCTTAAATTAGAAATGTGTCACACGTGACATGGAAAGTTAACATGGCCATCAAGCTGAGACAGCACCTTTGATTTAGAAAAGATGCATTTCTAAAAATTTCTAAAAATAGACTACTGAATATCAATATAAGACACTTTATAAAGTATGGAATGTAATTATTAGTGGCGTTTGCTAAGGTAAGCTTTACTATTGCTCAACCACTCCAAATATTGCATAGATACCGCTGTTAGGTCCATGAAATATGAACTGTTTTTCAATATTCATGCGTGTATTATCATCCTCAGACTCTGAAAATAGTTATTTGTGTAAATGAGGCCAGGAAAGAAGATGTCATGATTTTATTAAGACCATATTAAGACAGTATGGATGACAAATGGCTCTTGGCGGCCTTTGATAAACATTAAAGGACAGCTCTAGAGGAGATGATGTAATGTTTCTGGATGTATTCAATCCAGTACTTGCAGGGATAAAAGCCTTTGCATGTCTCCTGTTGTTCTCAAATATAACTATGGTAATTTCGCCACAAATGATCTCTTATAGCTATTTTAGTATCTTCATTACATTAACCTTACATGTATGCATTTCATGTTAGCATAGGCATTTATAAAATGTAGTTTATATATCATGTCAAGTCACCTTTATTTATATAGTGCTTTATACAATACAGATTGTCAAAGTAACTTTACAATGTTAAACAGGAAAATAATGTATCGATAATGCAAGAGGACAATAGTAAGTAGTCTATTTTTCAATTAAAGTCAGTTCAGTGCAGAGTTGACAGAACCGGGCTAATATGGTCGTACTTCCTGGTTCTAGTAAGAACTCTAGCTGCTGCATTTTGGACCAGCTGGAGTGTGTTTATTAAGCGCGCAGAGCAACCAACCACCCAATAAAGCATTACAATAGTCTAACCTTGAGGTCATGAACGCATGAATTAACGTTTCTGCATTTGACATTGAGAGCATAGGTCGTAATTTAGATATATTTTTAAGATGGTTTTACAAATACTAGAAACATGGTTTTCAAAGGAAAGATTGCTATCAAACAGCACACCTAGGTTCTTAACTGATGACGAATCATTGACAGCACAGCCAGCAAGTGTTAGACAGTGTTCTAGGTTATTGCATGCTGAGGTTTTTGGTCCAATAATTTAAACATCTTTTTTTTTTTTCAGAATTTAGCAGTAGGAAATTACTAGTCATCCAGTTTTTTTATATCAACTATGCATTCTACGAATTAGAAGTTAGTTTTACGAATTGGTATGTTTTGTTGGTCCGTGAAGAAATATAGAGCTGAGGATCATCAGCATAACAGTGAAAGCTAACAACGTGTTTCCTGATGATATCTCCCAAGGGTTCATGTAAACCGTGAAAAGCAGCGGTCCTCGTGCTGAGCCTTGTGGTACTCCATACTGCACAGCATAATCTATATAGAAAAATGTTCAATTAACTCTTTCCCCACCATTGACAGAATTTTTCCTACTTTCCGTGTTTTCACTGTTATACGGTAGGAGGTGCTATTACACATTTTATGAAAGAGTACCAAATCTCTGGATCAAAACACAGCGAAGAAGAATCAGAAACAAGCAAACGCGTATATAAGCAGATGTAAAATAATGCAATCATCAAACATTAAACGGCATATAAATCAAAACTGCCTAATGTTACAGAATGAAACGATGACTCAGGAAGTAGTTTAGGACTGTGCAAGCTTTGGGGGTTTTGATGGAAGCAATCTACTCTATCTACGTCTTAGACAAAAAAAATAAATAAAAAATTCTCAGCTTTTTGTTCAAAATGTTGCTTTTCTCATGAAATGTACCAACTTTCAAGTGTTGATTAATAAAATAATATATGAAGGGAGAATACAATTCTGGGGGCCATGAAAATTTTGTAAAAATTATCGAATATGCTGGAGGTGGCTGGCAACTTTTTTTTTTTAAATGCTGGTGGGGAAAGAGTTCAGTTAAAATGCATTTTCACCATATTAGTGTGACATTTTTGTGCTGTTAGCTTAGCAACATGCTAATGTCAAATTCTACTG